AAGTGGGGCTTTTTAGCCTGTAATTGCCAGGCTCGCTATTGGAGCCTTTGTAAAAATTATTAGTTACAGAGACTGATTGAAATGGGAATTTCATATTACAGTTAAAGCAAAATACAGGAAAATGTAGCACTTTAAAGACTAACAAGATGGTTTATTAGATGATGAGCTTTCGTGGGCCAGACCCACTTCCTCAGATCAAATAGTGGAAGAAAATAGTCACAACCATATATACCAAAGGATACAATTAAAAAAATGAACACATATGAAAAGGACAAATCACATTTCAGAACAGGAGGGGGACGCGGGGGGGGGGGGGGGAAAGGGAGGAGGCCAGAGGCTCTCTGCTCCCCAGTGCCCTGTCGGAGTCAGCGCTGCCCCTCCCCACATGCACAGCCAGCCACTGGAGCTGCGCGGGGATGAGGTTCTGCGCGCTTACCTTAGGTGTTGTGGCCGGGAGTGGGAAAGATATCCCATCCTTTCTGGCGGGAGGGTACAGCTCGGAGCTGTATTACCTCCTGAACCCCCTTGCCCTCCTTGATATGTATTTGCAGTTACATTATCCATCCACTAGAGGGCTCTGTATGCTGTACATCGGGCTAGAGTGGATGTCGTCCCTGGTAAACAATGGTGACAAAGCTGGAATTCAAGCTCTGTAGAAGTCTGTTTATTTGTGCCTACAATTTACAGCTGTTTTCTTTAATAAATGCCTCTTTTAAGAAAGACTGTGACTCCATGTGGAAGAGGAGGGGAGAAAAGAAGTGGGATATCTGGATTTTTACCTCTAGGAGACTGGTCAGGGAATGGGATATGGGCCTTTTACCCCTAGAATACTGGTCTGAATCTAGTCCAGTGACTGAGCTCGGGCACTACACACAAATGAAACTGCTTTTATGGACAGGGATAATTGCAACAATGAATCATTCAAATCAGGGTAGCAAAGAACTGGACACAGCTTTGTTTAACTCATGTGCATGATCTTTAACAGCCCAGACTTCTTCCTTTCCATCTACTGAGGTGCTATCGGAACTGTAAACACAGGGAGCGAACAGAACAGGGAATCCTCACTAGCAGTTTTTGAAACCTGTTAAAGTCCTGGCCTTCACCACACCCTCTGGCGAGGAGTTCCACAGGTTGACTGTGCGCTGCCTGAAGAAAAACTTCCTTTGGTGTTTTTAAACGTGCTGCCTGGTCATTTCATTTCGTTTGGTGCTCTCTGGTTCTTGTGTGAGGGAACAAGTCCATCACTTTTCCTCAGCCACAGAGTAAGGGCACTAGGAGCAGGCCAGGGAGTCTCAGGCCAGACGAACTTTCATGAGCTTTGCTTGGCTGCTTGGGGCAGAGCAACGGACGAGGCCCAGACACCAAGAGGGATGGGCTGGGTGGGTGTGTGACCCAGGTCGGTGCAAGGCCGGTCCGGACGGGCAGAGACAGGGCAGGGAACCCTAAAATAGCAGGAGCCAGATGAATGAGCCAATAGGAACCTGCTGGGGCCGGGTTCATTGCTGTGTCCAGCAACACAGTGATGGGTAGCGGCGAGAAACCCGGGATCTCCCCCAGCCAAGGCTGCCTCCGCCCCGTGCCCAGCAGGGCGGGGGGGCCCCTGTGCCAGGCTAATGCGTGGCACTGCAGGTCCCTTAGCAGGCCAGGGCACAGCCGGGACCGCGGGCTGCCCGGAGGCAGGTTGGCCACAACCCCTCAGCCCTCGGCCCCTGGGTTGGGTGCTGCGAGGAGCTGGGAGGGCCCCTGGCGTCCCGTCCTGCTGTGGCAGGCAGCTCTTTCCCGGGCCTGGCTGGGCCTTGGGCTGTGCCAGGTCTCGGGAGCAGGGCAGTGGGGGGCAGGAGTGATCCCGAGGCGGAGTAGGAGCGGAGGAGGGGTGTGATGGGGAGCAGGAACGGGAAGGGAGGAGTGTGAGGATGAGAGAAGATGGGCAGGCGGAGGGGAGGGGT